ATTCTTGGAGTGCACCGAAAAACAGTGCAGTACTTACATTCCATTCTTCTAGGCACCGAACCTTCACTGCTAACAAACACAGCGATATATTTTCTGTCATCGGCATTATCCTTGGCATCATCTTGAAGGATGTCGAGGATTTCCGGATTTTTGTGAACCAATCGGCTAATATTATCGTAAACGATAACCGGTGGTTTACCATTCTTTGCTTTGTACACTGCACCAGCACGCTTAAAGGCTCTCATAGCCCTCTTCCATTTAGAAGTCTCAGTTTTGTCTATAAAAAAGAAATTGGGTCAAAAATGTCGGTTAACAATAATTAAGTGCTAGTAACAATATTACCTTTAGTTATGCCCAAGATTTTTCGTCCCAGTTGTTCTGTGATAGAAATATTCTCCTCGAATGCAAAATTAATAGCTTTTCCAAAAGCTTCACCCAAGTCTTCGAAATCAGAAGGAATGTCAACATATACAACACCATCCCCAACTTCTCTCGATGCAATCCTGGTTAGTGTAGTTTTCCCAGTTCCATGTTCACCGCAAACCATGTGATAAAATGATTGATCTTCATAGGGTTGAAAAATTCTTTTAAGGCGTTCTACAATTTCAGGTCGAGGAACAAACTTGTCACTTGAAATTCCCGCTCCAGGTCGAGTGCCTTTTTCCACTGTCTCGTTGAGGAGACGTTCGTTACATCTATTCCGATACCAAGCATATAGGAGATCAACTGATATAACTCCAACAATGCCAGTTACAATTATGTTCGCCAATATAACAGTCTACAAATAACGAAAAGGGGTTGAAAACTTGATCGAAAAATGCATAACAAACAACAATAAATCTCATACCGGAAGCCGCTTTACAATGTATTTTGTGAATTTGTTCAGGTAAGACGATGTAGACTCTTCGGGAGACGTGTGGGGGGGAGGTGAAGAATTTGCATAAGGTCTCAAGTTTCTCAACATAAGACTCGGCGACTGAAGGAATAGTACTCGACGGTTAACGAATTGAGTTGGAAAAATGGTCCCACGAAAGTGTTGAGTTATTTTGGAGGAAGACATTGTTGGTTAAAAATTGACTGATCATTGATTCTTTATTTAAGTTCACGAGGGAAAAATTATTTCCGAATCTCTGTCGCACAAAACGGTTGCACAGCCGGATATGTTTACATCACCATCTTTATCTCTTATTAAAAATGGAAATTTGTTAGGAATTGCTTTCTGGATCCAAATAAGTAATTCTCTAGTTAGTAGCGGATCTTTCTCTATAGATACTAATGGTCTAGGTTTGTCTTTTTTATTTTTGGCATATCCAGTGCAGTACCAAGAATATTTAGGATTATACCATTCAGCAGTATCTGCTTTATAATACTTGATACAGAGGTTTCCCACATCTGCCGGTCTCATACATAACATTATCATTATATCAATTAAATTTTGCATAGAGGGTGGTTTTGTTATATCGCACTTACTAAGTCTTTCCTGAACATTTTCCAGATAAAAGAATTCTGGACAGTCAACCCCCTCGTCTTCACGGAGTTCCTGATTTATTGCTTGTTCTTTATTTGATTTTTGAGTAATATCGGGTATATATATTGCTTCTATTGTAAGATATTTAGCATCGAGATTGCGTAATTTTTTTCGGAGCAATTTAAGACGCGATGATTGGGCTATTATGGTAGGAGCTGTTTTAGCTAAGTTATATGCTAGCGTATTTATTTCTTCGGGTTCAAGATTGTTATCATTTTCCTTGATATATTGAGCGAGCTTTTTAATCGGGTCTCGCCCTGTAACACGCCTTCCGGAAGCCTGGATAGGAATTAAAGCATA